ATTATTATTAATTTTGCATTGATGCTTTCCCAGCTGGAGATTTCGGGAGACGCGGTCCTCACCTGAGAGATCCGGTACAATTCCCCCGGTGGAAGGTAAGCGGGGAGCGCAGGGCGGCGGAGCGGGGAGAGGACACGGGCTGCCAGCCGGACCTGCCCCGACATCGCCTCGGCTCCTTCTCCCCGTCCTCCGCAGCACTGGGGTCTTTTGCGGTGCTTTCCTCCTGTTTATTTCTCTCTCTTCCCCTCCAACCCTCCCCATACCGTCCTCCCGGTGCGTCCCAAAACTGCCTGTCAGCAGTGGTGGGATCGCTGCTCCCAGGGAACCCACCGCTGAACCCCTGCGTCCCGGGGGAACGAGCCCCGGCTGCCAGAGTTGGGGCTGGGAAGGGATTTGGAGGAAGGAGGCAGAGCGAATATGGACATGGAGAACTGCACAGCATCTGCTCCCCAATAACCTGTCTCAGGGGGACTGGGCAAGTCCCAAGACCTTAAACCAGGGTTAAAAATGTCAGGGTGCTCCAGGTTTGGCTTTCCCTGGTCCTACAGCATCTTTAGTTTCAAAGCTATGCCTGTGAAGGAGATCATGAAAGCATCTCTCAGGGATGGGGTGGGGAGGGAAAGCTGCCCCCATCCCATGGCTTGCCTGGGAGTGTAGGTCGTGTCCTTCTCTGATCCGGGAACAGCTCATCCTCCTTTGCATGCTCAGCGTGGGGCTGAAAGTGGCCTCTCTTGGTCACCTGACTGGACATTTCACCTGGAGCCATGCATCTAGGACAAGGGTTTGTTCCTACCTTGAGTCCTGGCCCTGAAGGACATAGGAACCCCCCACTCCATCAAGATGAGTTTGTAGAGACCACCCCAGCCCCAGGTTAGGCAGCAAAGCAACCTGCTAGTTCACACAGCAATGGGGATGGAGGGGAATCGAGTTGCATGCAAGGAAGATGATAGCACTATTATCTGTGGGTTGTTTTTGTCACTCTTGGGTTAATACAGCAGCCGTCTAGGTCTGCGCTCTCAGATGCACATGGACGTTGCTCGGTAGGTTAGTCTGCAGGCTCTGGGGGCTGTGGGAGGGAGAGAGAAGTCCCCTAAGGGAAGATGGCTTTTAATTTCCCCATATCGACTGGTTTCAGACAGGATTATTTATGTTTGACATAACAGATCACCAAACTTGGAAGGCAGTGGGGGTGTGCTCATCCTCATTAAGGTAGACAGTTTTCTGACAGAATAAATGAAAAGTAAGAGAAGACTGCACTTTGAGGTTCAACAGATTGTCTTCCAGTCTAAAACAAGAGTGAAATGAGCATAAAAGCTAGATGGTAAAATCATGTGCTTCAATCTTTCATGATGGATGGCTGTCATCTTAGGAAACGTGGTGGATATCCCAATGTTTGAGTGCAGACAGTGCTCCTGGGTGACCCCACAAGTACCCAGAACGATGCGTTTCTTAGTCATTGTATCTTGTCTTCACTGAGAAAGCATTTAAACGATAATGCTGTTAAAAGAAAATAGTTTAAGTAATTATTGCCTGGGCTAAGTGCCTGCACTATCCGCACCTGTATCGAGGCTCTTGCTCCGTTGCGATGGTGCATGAATAACGGAAGGTTGTTTGCAGCCTTTTGTGGTTGATGTTCATCTTGTCTGAAATGAGCAGAAAGATGCATTACGGCTGTTGGTTGGTGAAAAGAGATCTCAAACACCTTAAAGACCGTGCAGCTGTAATTAGAAGTGTAACCTCCTTCCTCTGCCTGTCAGGATTTCTGTGCAGAACGATGACAGGACCTCTTAAGGAACAGTGTTGGTGCTCAATAGATATAAAGAACTTCGATGACATCCCCCGTAAAGCGACTGATGTTGGTTTATCAGTACATTGGTTCTCACTTATGGAAGACATGGGGACGTGAGGTGGAAGGAAGGAAACAGCATTTGTTCCTTTCTGTTTTCCTGTCAGTGAACACAGATTACAAATACAGACAGTTCTTAAATACCTGTGCCTACCTGAGCACAAAAGAGTTGCAGAACATTACCAGCACCGTGGTTACTGCTTGTATCTCCTCTGTGTTTCTCCTTGCTTTCCAGCAAAGCCAGGTAGATCGGTTTAACTGTCACATCTCCTTCTGATCCTCTTCCATTGCAACTGCAGCAGTCGCCAAACGCTCATGTAGGTGACGTGAGGGTCAAGCCTGACGGTTTGCTCTCACAGGCTTTGCAATCTAAGAAGGACATGTTCAGGAGTGGCTAAGTGACAGAGGACCCACTCACTGTCAGTGACATATTGACCCAAGTCCTTTCTACCCATACCTGAGAACTCCCCTTAGAATCCTTTAAAAGTTTTGCTGGGGGCCAGATAGAAAGAGGTAAAGGCACCTAATGCCCTTGAGCATTTCTGTGCAACCCAGAGAGCTTAGCTGCGCCCTCACAGGCTGAAGAAGTCTGTGCCACTGACCTTTGGGCATGTCAGGATGGGTCCTTGGTGCCCAGCATGTGCGCCAGTGAGGGGTTTTGCAGCTGGCCAAGCGGTAAGGTATTTACTGAACTCAGACCTTTTTATTTGCCTGTACAGTGTCTGGCTGTGTTAGTGCCGGGGTAAGAAATGGGGATAACTTGGTACCTTCTCACTCGTCGTGTTCTCGTACCTCGCTGTGGTGTTGTCATGGATATGGATAAGGACATGGCCAGTGAAGAGGTGCTTGTTGCTGGCAGGGCTCCTGCAGCCCCGGTTTGTGACGCAGCTTATAACACTGAAGAAGAGTAGGGAAGGGATGGAGAAGAGGTGACAGGTGTTGGGGTTGAACTTGCAACTCATTCCCATTCTAATTTACACTTCTTGTGTCATCTGTTATCTCCTTCTCTCCTCATGCTCTAATTTATTACAGTAGGCAGGATTGGTTCACCCTTTGCCTGAGAAAAAAACCCCACAAACATATATCCCAGCAGTGCAGATTAGCAGAGAGATAACAAATATGTCGGGTGATGGATGCTCTTCAGACCTTCCAGCCACATTCAGATCACAGCTGAGGCCAAGCCAGACAAGACTGGGACCTTGGGAACCTGTGAGCCCTGCGATCCCCCTGATAACAGCCCCGGGCAGAGGTCAGGTCAAAAATTAAAAGTCATAATAACATTTTGAAACATCCTTGGACCCATTTCTCCCTGGAAAGCTTAATAACAGCCGTGACCCATCAATAGCAGGTCAGGGCACTGGAGAGAGGACCTGGCTTCCATGGGCTGTGTGGTTCTCAAGGTGCCTGTGTCAGAGGCATCATGGAGTGGGGATGGGAATGGAGCTGATTTAGACCAAAATCTAAACACCAATGATTTTGCCCCATCCCACATGGCTGGAAGTGTGGGTTTCTCAGTAGAGTCGGGCAGGCAGCAGTGTAAACTGCAGCCTGGGATGCTCTCAGGAGATGCTGGCATCTCCCTGGGCATGGGCTGGTGCTCCTCTTGGCAAGGCCATGGAGTGGAGACAAGAGATGAGTCAGGGGCTGGGAGAGTTGTGTTGACTCTCTCCCTGCAGACAGAGTTTTGTCTTGCTTGTTGAAACAAGCACCTGTGATGGGTCAGAGCTGACGTTTGGCTTCAGCAAGAATAAGGGTGCAAGATGGACCGAGACGTCTTCCCCAAGTTTGCCAGGCCACGAGGGCAGCTCAGCCCCTCCTCGCTGTCTCCAGTGCTTCTCTCCCCATCTCTTACCTGCAAGACAAAAGCCACCTGCAGGAACACACCACCCAGCATGGCAGTTTGTGAGTTTGCCAAGCTTTGCTTGACAGCAATGTTAATTTTCTCCCCAGCTGGAAAGTGCCTGCCACTTCTACCTGCCCATGAGCTACAGGAAAGGATGAGCTGAAGGTACACGCAGCTCTGCTGCCCTGGGAAACATCTCTCTGCTCCAGAGCTTTTATCAAAGAGATGGAAACTTGTCATATTCTCTCTGCAACAATATCTGACATTATCCAAGCAATTTGCCTTTGGTGTGTTTCCAGAAATAGTTAGGCCTACAGTAGACATGGGTGACATCTGGATGCATTACTGTTGAGTTCAGAAACACTCAGTAAACAAGACAGGATCTATTGTTTAAAGGTTATTTCAAAAGACTCCTAGCGAGTTATCTGGCCCCTCAATGGGGAGAGCCTTAATGGCACTGTGATAATTGCCTTTTTCTGAAGGACATTTCAGAGGAAAGTTACCAGAAACCCTAAAGCAAGTCTCAGTCTGTCCTCACCAGGCCGGGGACCTGATCCAACCTGAAAACGTGAGGAGTTTTTCTTTTTTCTTCAGTGCTGGTTGGATCAAGCCCAGGAATTGTGCATCTGGCTGTGGGCAGAGCAGGGCGGGGGGCACAGATGTAGGGGAGACCACTAGCAGTTCAACAAAAAAAAAACCTCTCAAATCAGCATAATAGGGCAGCAGGATTTGCATCAGCAGGGAGGTCGAGAGAAAGAGTCCTCCCTGAGGCTCTGAATAGAAAAGAAAAGTCATTAGCAGTGGGTAAAGCAAGGGCCTCTGAGCACCTGAGATGAGGGTGGGAAGCTCTACAGGAAGAGGGGGGCTGGCGGCACTCGGAGGGCTCAGTGAGGCCGCTGCAGGAGACACTCTGCAGCCCACGTCTCTATTCATCATGTCCCCATTCAGTGAATAGCCTCCTTAGAAAAGAAGAAAAAGAAAGAAAAAGAAAGGCGAGTGAATTTTTGGCAGAAACCAAGTGCCAGCCATCATCCCCGTCCCTCGCCCAGGTGACAAGGATGCTGCTCATATGTGGCAGAGGGGAAGAGATGTGGCTTTGCTGTCACTCACACCAGCCTTACTGTCACTCACACCAGCCTTACATCTGCATGTGCTTCAGGCAGAAATCCCTCCTGGCTTCTTACCTTGGCCCCCGGGCAAACAGGATTAATTCTCTCTGTTCCGTTAATTTCAAGCCCCTCAGAGAAGCCGTGATGGAGAGGAAATCATGTTGCGGTCACCCACAACTTTCTGTTTTGCCACTGATTTTCCCTGAGAGGGGTGAGCAAGATCGGGGGGTGACCGTGGAGCCCTAGAGCTGGCCAGAGCTCTCTGCCCACAGTGGGACCGTCCTGTCCTGGGCTCTG